ATGTACATCAAAAACCAAGCCATAGCAATTACCCCAGGAGTGAGTTCAGCTCCGACTCAAAGGGGGACTAAGGGCCAGTCACAGGGTCCCACCTATATCTTTCCAATACACAACCCTGGCCAATTTTATGACTTTGAGTTTTGTTTCACATGTTTCTCTCACTCTTTGCAGGAGCAGCCAGTATGACCCTTTGCTTTTGCAGCCAGCACGATCTTTGTTAGCAGTAGACAGGCATCCTCTCCTTCTTCTGGTCTCATGATAATAGGGACTGGTGTTTGTGTGGTCCATTAGTCGACTGGATGAATTGTTTTTATATGTCTTGATTTTTTTCACTCTTCTTTTCTCCAGCGTGGGAGAGACCAGTAGTCGCATCGTAGATGGCTGTTTAGGAGCTTTTATGACCTCCGTTGCTCCTCACTCACAGAGGGTGCATTCAACATCGTCCTGGTGAACTATGTTATGCCAATAAACCCTGTCATCTCCTGAGACTGCAGTCCTGACCCTTCAGGTGTGGGGGGTTTTTTTCTTCCAATTTTAGTTAACTAACAAGTAATTACAATTTTAGATAGCTTTATTTTCCAATCTGTCACACACACTATTGACTGTCAAGCTAATACATTTTCATATTGTTTCTCCTCTCAGCTCTGCCACTTTCTCTGAAAAAATCTCTGAAGGATTATCCTGTCCTTTTCCTCTATAACACTGTTTCTTTACTGCCACACAAAGTCTGCCTACAGGAATACTGTACTGCCATCTGCATCCTGTCTTCCTCCAACCACCAAGATGCACATTTGTGAAATACATTAGCATGCATAGTCCAACTATTTCTATGTAAAACTTTTAGTTTTGTATTCTCTTCCAAGTTATCCACTTTGTTAGTTTATTGAAACACCACTAGTAGTTTAAACTTTAAAAATATGTCTCATCAATAGACATCTTTTTCTAAGGTTTCTATATTTGAAAATCTGATCAATTCTTTTCTATTTATAGCACTTTCTAAAAAACCCTTTAAATCATTTTAAAAATGAGTTTTAATATTTATTCACTTTAACAGTTTAGTATATACAGGGAATTATTTTAATTTATACATTCAAAACAAAGGGGCAGAAATTGAGAGGAGATCTAGAAATCCTCTAGTCTAGTTTTCTTGTAGGGGAACTACCTTGAAATGTGTGCAATGGTTGTCTGAAAGATGTTGTTCAGTACAGGGAGATGGAAAATTATTAGCTATTTTGAAGATTTCTGAGGACAACAGGGAGCCTTGGTGGCACAATTGTTAGTTAACCAAAACATTGGTGATGAAAATCCCACCAGCCACCCTCATGCACACCCCCACCCCCCCACCCCCCACCCCTGCCCGCCGACCATCTGTTTCTGTAAAGATTACAGCCAAGCAAATCCTAGGAGGAAGTTCCATCCTGTCACAGGGGGCTACTGTATAATGGAATGAACTCTATCATGCCTAACACCACCACCAACACATGAGACAGAAACACTGGAAATGTGAAGTGTCCTACAATTTCAAGAGGTCTTGTCGACCAATGAATACGGTACAGTCAAAATAGTCTTTCTCAAGACCTCTCAGGGAATTAGAAACCGTTATGCCAACATTGAGACTAATATGCTTCCATGAGCATTAGAAGGATGATTCCACAAAGTTCCGCATAAATACATAAATGCTTAAAAACCTTACCTTGAACGAGGACTCCTGTGAACCCTTTTCTGGAAAAGGTGGCTTTTCCCATCCTAGAAAAAGTTCTTTGGGGAATTCTTCGATACAAGAGGAAGAATACATCTGTAAGAATCTTTTCAGGAAAAAATGCATTTCTTTTTGGCGCAAAATTAATCCAGAGTTGAAAAGGGAGGTGCACAGTGTGTCATCTGGCAACGCAATTCCATGGCCTGGCTTTGTAAACGCTTAAAGAGGAAAGATAGCTTAATTCAGTCATCTTACATAAAAGAACGGCTTCCCCTTTGTTGGTAGTTATGCTCTAATCACTTCCCTCCTTCATCCTTACTTCCGCTCGAGGCTGCCAGTAGTTTTCCACCAATTTAAAGCCAAATGGAATTGCTTCCTCACAAACGAAGGAGAAAGTCTCAGAGGCATGGGGGGGACGACTTCAGGCTCGGAGTCTACATTCTGTCTAGATATCTTGTTTTGCCCCCCCCCCCACCGTGGCCCCCAAAAGACCCAAGGCAAGAATTTAGATGAAGGTAGTTTATTTGAAAAATGATCTTTGGGACATCAGGAAGAAATGGGGAAAGAGTGACAGGAAACATAAAAGAACAAAGAAGGAGATAATAACATGGACTATAGCAATAGACTGGGAAGGCTAGTGCTGCTGGGGGCTTTTTGGGTTACCATGTAAAACTCGCTCACTGAGGGATGAATGAGAAAGCTGGCAAGATCACCTACCAACTCCCTACTTCATTACCTGGGCATATAGAATCCCTGACCTTTCCCACTGCCCTGCGTGGAGGCCTGGAGAGCCACAGTAGCTTCTGAGAAAGGTCAGCAGGCAAAACTCCTTGAGCAATTGAGGTCAGAAGTATCAGCAGGTGAATTCAGAGGTGAACAGATTCAATATTAGGCAAGGCATTAACAAAGTCTGCTACACTGGCACATAGGCACCTTCTTAGCAATTGTGTTTCCCTTGCTCTTGCCCCATCATAATGCATCTCTTACCCTGAAAACTTTTCTGAGTGTTTAACTGTTCTACTAAGAGCGTCTCATATGTATACTAGTCATCTATGACTCAGTCTACTTGGTCTGCTAGCTTCTACATCACTGGGCAGAAGCATGGGTCCAACTCTAGTCTGAGTGCATTGATGAACATCACGGGATCACCAATTGCATGGCCACAAATGTGAAACAAATTAAAACAGTTTATATGCATATTATTTAGCCAGTGACAGTGATATGAAACTTCCTGGAGCTAAATTACCACTTGAAGTCATGGATTTTTTCCTCTTCTAGGTAATCACACGGGACATTGCTCTTCAAGCCAATTTTTCATTCCATGCATTTTATTAGCTGTCAATCGACTGCACTGATTTCTCTTTTGAGCCTGTACTGCTCTGCAGTCTTCTGAAGCCTCTGTGTGATCCCATATAACAATAAGTCTAAACATATGGAGCAAAATATATAGAACTTCAAAGGAAACCAACAATATTGACGTGGTTTTCAATCTAAACACCCACATAGTTCTAGTGAAGAACTCTTGAATTTTTCATCTTCTGGTGAAAATTAATTCAGAAAAGTCTCTTAAACATGACTTAAGCAGGGACTAACACAAATACATCCTGTCTTAATCCACCAAAACCTACCTAGCAGTTTGCTCATATTATTGATTCTTTGCAATTGAATATAGTAGCGGATTAGAAGGATCCATGTAATCTCGTCTCTAGACGGAGCCTTCTTTTTAGCATCTGCATCCTCACTCACGTCATCACTTTGGTACAAATACATAAAGCTAGTCTGGAAGGCAACTTGGTAATTATCTGAAAGTGAAAAATAAAAAATGTTTGTAGTAATATGCTATTTTCTCTTGAAAAATAAATATGAACAAAAAAACTCCCACAACTCTTAAAAGACTGGCACATGAGGCTATATCAGATTTTTAAAATGATACATTTTTTTCCTCTTTAAACACAGAAATAAAATATAAACCATAGACTAAGAGAAGAGATTCAGGGCTTCAAAATTTTCATGGAAATTTTTCATTATCTTTTCATTTTATTTATCCACGAATGTGTCGAAGCCCCCTTGCATTTCTCATGCCTATGAATGGCAAAGTATTCTTTTTCCTAATATGTAAAAAGACCTCCCATAAATCAACAAATAAAAGTCAAACAACCCAATAAAAAAGCAGGCAACGAATTTCAACAAGCCATTCATAGCAACAGAAACCCAAGTGTCCAACACTACCAACCAGGGAAATATAAACTAAAAGGGAATACGATAGCACATCCTTCATGAGCTGACAAGACTAAAATCTGAAAATAATAAATACTGGTAATAAAGTAATGAAACTGAAATTCTCATACAGTGCTTGTGAGAGCAATTTGGGAAAGCAATTTGACCTGATCTAATAAGATCAAAGCGCAGATACAAATACAGATGGGTACCAGGAATCTGGAGCAAAGATGCTCATGGAAAACATGTTTGAATTTTTTTTTAAAAAAGGAAACTTGGAAGACTAGACATAGGTCTATTAATTTGATGGCATTTTAAATCAATGATGCACGAGGTCTACAAATGAGAAAGTCTAGTCCAGTCTCAGTTCAAGTCCCAGCTGCACTGTTCACTAATTAGCACAACTTTGCACTTTTTTATACAATGGGTTCTATTGGGAAGCCCTGTGCTCTCTACTCTATTGCCCCGATCTTACCCCATTCAACTTTTTGTCCTCAGAACTCAAAAGGTACATGACTTCAGTCCTCAGAGGTACCCAAACTACCTTGTTAATGTAGTGTAAATGGATGATGCAGAATTATTTTAGAAGGGTCGGAGAGATGAAAGACCACCTCGAAAAATGTACAGACCCAATGGAGGATATGCCAAGAAACAATAGCTTCACACTTTGATATTTTTGTTTAAAAAGGTCTCTATGATTTTGACCTATCCACAAATATGATTTCAGATGTACTGCATAATAAACAATTCCTAGTCTCTAAGAGAAGGCGACAACTCCAAAGAAAATTGGGCCTGATTCCTGGATAAACACTTCCAAATGAACAACACATTCAAAAACCAACAAACTATATGTAAAAGTGCTCCACCTCATTACTCATTGAGGCAAATTTTAAATTAAAACCACCTCGGGGGACTTCTAGATCGTACTCTCCTGATATTGAAAACATTATGTCTTGTAACACAACAGTTCCACTCCCTAGTACTTATGCAGTATAAAAACTGTATTTGTTGGTACACAAAAACAGCACACACAAGTATTGATAGGAGCATTATTCATAACCCTGTCCTGAAGACCTAAATCTCTCTCAATGGGAGCATTTAAAATAGATTGTGCTATTCATCCAACAAAGGCATGAATCATGCAAACACAATGTTAAACAAAGTAGCAATAGATTTTTAAAATACAGACTGTATTACTTTATTTATACACTGTTACCAAATTCGCAAAACATATCTATTCTCCTAAAACTCAGGAGGAAGGAGGTACATGACTAGACGCAAGGGGGGGGGGCATGAGGAAGGTGTAAGCTCTGGGGGCTGGTTACAGTGTATTTCTTGACCCAGTGATGGGTTATGTGTTTCCTTGTGTGATAATCAAGATCTATGTGATTTGTGCCTTTACTATATTTGTGCTACGTCAAAATGAAATCTTATTTACAAAAATAATTTTGCAGTGGCCTTTAGTTCGGACTTCTTTTTCTGGTGAAATGAACTTGTATGTCACTGAAGATTCCAAGTGCACTGTACTTTTAGTTTCCCTCTTTTGAGCCCGTCAGATCAAGATCTAGATCTGCGGGGTAACGCACCTGATGGGCTTCTTGCTTTCTTTTCTTTTTATGGAGCAATTTTCCTTTCATTCGATTCAATAACAATAATTCTTCTTCTTCTTCTTTTTTCCTATTCCACTCTCCTTTTTCCCAGCCCCATCTCTGGCCTCCTCATAGTCATCTAAGCCGCCTTTTGGTATATAAATCACATTTCTTTTTTGTTTTTGCTGATAATAAAATTTATTTTGTAAGACTGACTGAGTTCTATTGATGAATCAGTTATACTATGGTTTATCCATTCTTCTATAGTTGTTTTCTTTTCTTTTTTCTTTTTGTTCCATGTTCTGTTAGTTTGAGTTGACTAGAGAAACAAATTCATAGACACCCATATGTGTGTATGAGAGAACTTTATATTCAAAAGCATTCATACATTATGAAAACATCCCAGCACAGTCCAGATCAAGTCCAGAAGTGTAATATTACCACATATATCGATACCAGTCCACAAATTCCTCTATAGACTCAAACAACACATGCAATGACACTGAGTCCAGGAAGATCACAGGAAAGTGGGTGGAAAGTATTGTGGATCCAGTGGCGGTGGAAGCATCTCAGTGTTGGCATGGGTCTCCATGTGGCTCCTCTAGCTCCATGGCTCTGGCTCCATCAGTGTAGCTCCATGTGTCTTGTCAATAGGAATGTGTAGCAGAGAGAGTGTATCTGGCCTCCAGTGAGCTATTTATCTCCATTGTGCCTCCAAATGAGGTCATCAACCTGCGACCTGATTGACAGGCTAGACTCCACCCCTTCATAAGTTGACGGTAGATTATATAACTGCCCCAAGTTTTCACTGTTGTTGAAATTGAATTTCACTGCTGTTGAAATTGTTGCAATAAACATAGGTGGACATATATCTATCCACATTATACTCTTAATTTCTTTAGAGAGTTGCTGGATCATAAAGTATTTGGATTTTTTTTGTTTAAGGATGTGCCATACTGATTTTCATAATGGTTGTACAATTTTGCAGTGCCACCAGGAATGTAAAAGCATTCTTATCTCGCTGTAGCCTCTACAGCATTTGCTATTTTCTGTTTTATTGAACATGTTAATATTGGCATGTCCATTTTTCCTCTTGGATATCATCCAAATTAGCACAGAAGACAAGTACCCCAAACAAAAAATAACACAAGCGAATTCCATTTTCAACTCATCAAGAGAGAACTAAAATCTCAAACAAAAAAGCGATGGAGTGGTGCCCAAAGCATCAAGTTGTCATCCAGGAGAAGACACACAGAGAAATGATAGAAATGATAGTGACATGTACATCTCAAAAAGAAATAGCAAAATGTTCTTCTTGAGGGTGAACAGCACCTTTGCAAAAAGGATTAGTTGGCAATTAAGTGGAAGGATCATTTTGAGACCAATTGTTCATTAGCTTGCCTCACAAGTGAACTAATCTACAGAAATGACACCACTTGCAGTTTTGTTTATAGAATAATAATACCAACACTATATAGCCACAGATCAGTTTGTGACTTGTCATTGCTCCTCCGTGAGGTGCTATTGTATTGGTTCCAAATCATAGAGAGCCTGTATGTATGCGGCAGGATGAAACTCTGCCTGGTCCTGTGGAAGGCTCACAACTGGTAGTGACACTTGTCAATTCGTCCCGTTGTAGGTCTTCCTCTTTTCACTGACACGCTACTTGACCTTGCATGAGGCCCTTCTCCAGGGACGTGTCCCTTGGTGCAGTGAATTATTTAATATGTCCCTTCCAACCATAGTCTCCCGTTTTGTCATGTATTATAAATCCTCACCTCTATACCTGTGGTAATGGTCCCATTTTGGAGTGAGTCTCCTGTTGTGGCAATTAGGCAGGATTAAGGTAAGGCGCATCTTGAGCCCTGACCTTATTAAAGGCTCACGTCACCACCCTAGGTCTCCTTGAGGGCGGAGTCTGAAACCAATATATAGGAATGCCTTTGAGACCTGAAAATTAGCCATCATCTTTGATGTCTGTGTTAAAGCAAAACCTAATTTCCAATTTTAACTTATCTCCTTATTAAGTAAGCTGCCAGCTTGATAAATTAAAAATAGCAGAAAACTGGGATCACGGAGCAGACGTAAACCAGACCCGGCCTGCCTAGCATGTGCACTACCAACCAATGGGTTCTCCACCTGACCTTTTGATGTCAGAAGATTGAAAAAACGTTCCCATCAGTGCTTCCGTTGTGGGCCAAAGGCCATCTTTGTGACCTCCCTACTTACCAACTGACACTGTGGAGAAGACTAATTCTTGTGTTGAATCATCCTGCAGAACACCAGTCAGATATGAGTGACTGCCCTAGAAGAATCAGTGTGTAGTGATGTAAGGCCCAGTGTGCTCCTTGCTTGACCAACCAAGTGAGAACTTCTTGTGCCCATTTTGTACCTCTGCAACTGCACAAAACCAGATGTAAAAGACTATGGTAACACTTTGGAAAAACTCGCTCTTTTTCCACGTGTGCATCGGACCCATCTGGCTGACCTCCAGTTCATGGTACTGAGTCCATGACCTTTCTCCTGACTTGATTTCCCTGCTTCCACAGTCTTGGGAGCCAAGAGCCTGTCCTCTGACCTGTCAATTTGGGTTTGCCAGCCCCTGCAACCACCTGAGTGAGGAGAATATTCCAAACTGTTATCTGAACTATAACTTTGGGATTTTCCAGCTTCCACAACCTCAAGAGCCATTTTCTTAATGATTCATGAGTTCTCTGAGATGTTGTAGAGAACTACCTAAGGCATGAGTAAGAATGCTGAGCGGAGGGGCGGAGTTATCAGAGGATGAAGTGGAGAACTTTTAGAAAAGTTGGAGATTTGGGACATACTTAATCTCCACCTCATTGGGACCATCCTTGTGCTAATTCTTCTGAAAGAAATGATTCATAAAATGTCCAAATTACATGGTACAAAGCCTTGCTATCCTCACTTCTTTTTTTCCCCTTCAGTTGGGATTTAGTACATATATCATATCTTTCCATATTTCAATCACGTCA